GGGAGATTGTTGGCCTTCTTGTTTTGATGATGTTTAACAAACAATTTATTACTAATGTTGTTTGTCTAGTGTTTGTGCATTCCTATGTATTGTAGACAAACAACGTAGTTGGAGGATGGATGGATTGCGCCATAACGACGATATCAAATGGAGGTTGGCGGAATTGTGGAGTGAAGCAACATGCAATTTATAGTTAAAGATCAAGTTCAAGCTTCATCCGCATGTGTACCAAGTTGAGCTACAATGAAGATCAAGATAAAGCTTGGGTAATCTAATTTAGATTTTATATTATGTGTGTTAAGTACCTTAAGCTCAATATCATACACACACACGTATTTGATTTCTATGTATATATATAGTTATATATATACATGCATGGTTTTGGGTTTTTATGTTTTGAACACTTTTGCAAAATAATGAGATTTCATAATTGGGAAATGCAAATTGGAAAATTCTTTTTGTAAAATGTTCAAAATATCATTTTCAAACATGTAACATGTTCAAAATATCATTTGCAAACATTTCTCAAAGTTTCATCAAGTTTGGAATTGATTTGTTATGTTTAAAGGAATTTACAAATTCACGTTTTCGTTCGTGCACATGTTCGTGCATGTTTTACAAAACTGATGAGTTTTTACAAATGAGAAGTGATATTTGAAACATTCTTTCTCTGACATGTTTATCTACATGTTTAGAAACTTTACTACAGTTTTTACTATTTTTGGAGTTGATTTACTGTGCCTACTTGATTTTACAAAATCGTGTATCACAGCAGATTTTCAGAAACTGTATTTTTGTGTTCAAACATTTATTTCTCTCAACTGGGAAATGATTTTTCAGAAATTCTTTCTCTGACATGTTAATCTACATGTCTAGAACATTCCCACAAAATTTCATAATTTTTGGAGTTCATTTACTATTTTAAATTGATTTTACAATATTTCTGTGCATTGCTACAGTAATCCGGTCGACCGAAATTTTGGTCGGTCGACCGAAATTTCCTCCGGTCGACCGACCAAGTTGAACCAAGAGAGTTTAAAAACAAGTTTAAGAAAGTTGTAATCAAGGGTTTATGTTTGGTTTAAGTGTGTTTATAAGCTTTTAAGCATTTGAGTGTTTTGGTTTTGTGAATCACTTCCACAAGAGCTTGAGGAGATCATCTATTGGTGTTTGAGCATCCAACTCTTCTCCTTCCACTCTTGATCTATTGAGAAGTTTTCTAAACTCAATCTAAAGAGAGTTTTAAAAACAAGTTTAAGAAAGTTTTAATCAAGGGTTTATGTTTGGTTTAAGTGTGTTTATAAGCTTTTAAGCATTTGAGTGTTTTGGTTTTGTGAATCACTTCCACAAGAGCTTGAGGAGATCATCTATTGGTGTTTGAGCATCCAACTCTTCTCCTTCCACTCTTGATCTATTGAGAAGTTTTCTAAACTCAATCTAGCTTCATATTTTATATTGTTTGATTATCTTTTTATTAAGCTAGTGTTCATATTGAGTTTAGTTGATTTTATTATCTCTTTGTTCACACACAACCTATTGAGCTTATTGTATTTACATTCATAGTATAATTGGGTTGTGAGATTGTGTATCTTAGAGAGTGAGCTTACAATTCGTTCTCATCCATTGTAGAGAACAAACACTTTGTATTGAGCCTTAATTGTGAGGATACACTTGGTAATACACTTGTACACCAAGAGAGAAGTGTGTGGCGAGAGTCGGGGATCGTCCCAAGAGGAGTGGGGTAGGTGACGAGAGGTTGTAATTCCTAACACTTGAGGGAGACACGTCTAGTTCCAACACTTAGTGGGTGTAGAGTGTGATTGCAAGAGTGTTGATTGTAAAGTTTTCGGTTAGCTAGAAAACCGAGTGTGAGGTGTAAACGTTATTCGGGTGAACGTAGAAAACCCGGTTGTGATAGTGGAGATCTCCTCGAGGTGAGGAGCGGGGACGTAGGTCGTGGGGACCGAACCTCGTAAACATATCCTTTGTTTGTGTTTGCATTGGCGCACTTGTTTTCATGTTCATATCTTACATCGCCATTGTGTATTGCTTGTTGATCATTTTACCCTATCACATTTGTAGTTAATTTGTTTACCCCTCTTGTTAGTTTTATATCCTTGCACATACATTGTCTATATCTCTTTGTTAATTCGTTTGTTCATATTGCTTATCCTAGCTTACATATCTTGTTGTATTTCATACTTGCTAGGATAACGTATTAATTAATTTTAATTGGCATTTAATCGGATTAGATTAGCATAAGACCCTAATCACCCCCCCTCTAGGGTCTAACATTATCTATTTTATGATATACACACTCATCTGTTTGATTAATTACAAATCCATAAGATAGTATAATGTTATCAAATTTCATATGCCATTATTTTGGAGCTTGTGTGAGACCATATAGTGATTTAATAAGTTTGCATACTTTCTTTTCTTGTCCAGAAGCTATAAATCCCTCAGGTTGATCCATATAGATTTCTTCATCTAAATCTCCATTTAAGAATGCACTTTTAACATCCATTTGATGTATTATTAATTTGTGAATAGATGCTAGAGCTATAAGGACTCTAATGGTAGTAATCCTAGCTACTGGAGAATAGACATCAAAATAATCAATACCAGACTTTTGGGTATATCCTTTAGCTACTAATCTGGCTTTATATTTATCTATTGTTCCATCAGGTCTAAGTTTCTTCTTAAACACCCATTTACATCCTATGGTTTTACATCCTGAAGGAAGATCAGTTAGTTCCCAAGTATGATTTTGAACTATAGATTGTATCTCATTATTTATAGCTTCCTTCCAAAATGGAGCATCTACTGATTTCATTGCATCTTCAAATGTAACTGGAGAATCTTCTACAAGTAATGCATAGAAATCTTCATGGGCCTTTTCTATTCTAGTTCTTTTACTTCTCCTAGGCTCTTCTGGACTTTCTAGTGGTCTAATTTGTTTAGAACTAGTTTCACCTTGGTTAGAACTAGGATCTGAATTACTAGAGCTAGGACCTGTGTTGTTTACTCTGGTCTTGTAAGGAAAAATATTTTCAAAGTAATGTGTATCCTTAGCTTCAATTATGGTGTTTTTGGCTATCTCATTAATGTCAGAGTTGATTATTAAAAAATCTATTTGCATTACTATTAGAAGCATAGCCGATAAAAATTCCATCTACAGTGTTAGGTCCAATCTTCTTTCTCTTATTCTCAGGTATTTTAACTTTTGCTAAGCACCCCCACACTTTCAGGTGATCCAAATTAGGGTTTCTATTCTTCCAAATTGTGTAAGGGGTTTTATCAGATTTCTTGAATGGAATTCTATTTAGTATACGACAGGCAGTCATGAGAGCTTCTCCCCATAAATTTTCTGGCACACCAGAATTAATTAACATTGAGTTTACCATGTCCATTAGTGTTCTATTCTTTCTCTCAGCTACTCCATTAGATTGGGGTGTATATGGAACAGTTATTTCATGAATAATTCCATTCTCTTCACAGAATTATTTTAATTCATTAGAAGTGTACTCACCACCTCTATCTGATCTTAGTATTTTAATTTTTCTATCCAACTGATTTTCAACTTCTGCTTTATATCTGATCTTAGTATTTTAATTTTTCTATCCAACTGATTTTCAACTTCTGCTTTATATATTTTGAATTTTTTATGACTTCATCTTTGGTCTTCATTAAGTAGAGGTAACAATATTTAGAACAATCGTGTAACGCCCCGCCCCGGAATCCCGGAGTCGGTACGCTATTAGATCTGATGGACTGGCCTCACAAACCACCATATGTCTTTTCAGCACGTTTTGTCCTCACTCACGCGCTCCTTGGAAAACTTCCCAGGGGGTCACCCATCCTAGAATTTCTCCAGGCCAAGCACGCCTAACTTTGGTCCGTGTGAGATTCTAGAGGTGGCTCCTACGGCCTCAAGAGGTAGCTCACGTCCTCTCGACGTAGCACTTTGCGCCGCATAGCACTTAGCTCTCACAATTCCGGTTGGCTTGGCTCTGATACCATTTGTAACGCCCCGCCCCGGAATCCCGGAGTCGGTACGCTATTAGATCTGGACTGGTCTCACAAACCACCATATATCTTTTCAGTACGTTTTGTCCTCACTCACGCGCTCCCTGAAAAACTTTCCAGGGGGTCACCCATCCTAGAATTTCTCCAGGCCAAGCACGCTTAACTTTGGAGTTTCTAAGAGTTGGGTTCCTGAAAAGAAGATGCATCTTGGTGGTATGAGTATTCCAATCAAATCTATCAATACTAATCACATCACCCTCTCAAGGGTTGGGGTATTACAAATCGTCTATAAAAGTTACAAAATATTTGTTACCTCCTCTAGTTGTTCTTCCTGAATCATAAACATCACTATGGATGGGTTCTAATATCTCAGAATCTCTATCAATAGTTTTAAATGGTTTCTTAGGAAGTTTGGCTTCTATACATATTTCACATTTTCATCATCTTTTATATTAAGCTTTAGAATTATATTGAGATGCATCAATCTTTTAATTGAATTATAATTCACATGTCCTAATCTTTGATGCCAAGTGATAGAAGGTTCGATATTCAAAGCTATTGGAGATGCAAGAGTAGAATTCTTAACATTCAATTTAAAAAGACCATCACATAAAAAACCTTTACCAATGAAGTTCAATCCCTTAGTTATTACAACTTTATTTGATTCAAAAACAAGTTTGTAGCCTTGTTGCACTAATAAAAATCCACTAATTAGATTTCTCCTAATATCTGGTACATGATGGACATCCTGCAGGATCAAAGTCTTATCCGAAGTCAGCTTTAGGTTGATCCGACCTATTCCAGATACATGAGCCATATTATTATTTTCCATTATCACAGTTCCTCTACTTGAGACCTGATAGGTGGAAAACAAAGATTGATTAGAGCAAATGTGAATATTAACTCCAGTGTCAATCCACCAATCATTTGCTTGAAAGGTCATGTTTACTTCAGGGGTGAAGAGAACAGACCTGAAAGCAGTCTCAGCTGAATTGGAAGTCACCATGTTTACTTGTGACTTATTAGGTGGAGGTCCTCCCTTCCTAGGCTTGGGTGGTTCTGTCTTCTTGTAAAAGCAGTCCTTAGCAAGGTGGTTGGTTCGTCCACAAACGAAACAGGTTCGACGTTCAGTTCCTTCCTTCTTTTGAAAGTGGACATGGTTCTTATTTTGATGAAAGGATTTCTTCAGGCGACCTCCTTCTCGTCGGCACGAGCTTCAAGAAGGTTTTACGAATTCTTTGTGACTTTTAGGGAACCAACAAATCGTAACAGCAAGTAAGCATAAGAGGAAGAATAGAGAAGAAGAAGAAGAGCTTGTTATATTTTGATGTGTTCTTTTTTCCTTACGGCTGTAGGCCCTTTTATAGGGTTTGAAAGCCTCACCATTTACGCCATATTAAATACACTAGCCGTTTTCTATCCTTTAAAGTTCATAAATCTCGCCAATTAATGTTAGCCGTTACAAAATATTAATCCACAGTTTAATGCTAGATGTTACAAAATATTAATCCGTAGTTTAATGTTAGACGTTACAAAACATTAATCATGTTTTTAATATGCATCATATTAATTTTGTTTTAATTATTTCAATTAGCACAAAAAATATAGCAGGTTAAGAGCCCCTCAATCCGGAGCTGCATTCGTGTCCGCAGGTCGTGTGCGCGCGCCACCCGACCCGAACCCGAGCCCGAGCCCAGCCCGACCGGCGCGCGCGTGTGTGGTGTGGAGCATAACCTTTATTTTCTTCTAGGCATAGGAGAGAAAGGGAAAGCTTATAAAGAACCTATCTTCTCATCTCTTTTCCAATGTGGGACTAAACTTTTCCTCTTTTCCTCTACAAACCCAAGTTTTAAGTTACAACTCCAACAGTTTCAAGCTACGTATGTATTATAGTATGTATTCTAATAATAAAAATGCACTGTAGCTTGGTGGTAAAAATCATTTTGAACAAATTGAAGGTCACAGCTTCGAGACTTGTCCTCAACTCATTTTAACTAACAATTCTCCATAAGTTTAAAATTGAACCCGGATGAGGACTCGGACCTCGACATGAAGGCAGACCCCAACCTGGACTCGGATGGGGTCAGGTCAGGGTAAGCCGAGCAGAGGCAGTCATGCAAGCTGCTTCGTTGCATACATAGTGGTTGGATCCGACCTAAAGATGCCTTTTGACCTGGACTTGGACTTCTTAGAAGAGTTAGCTTAGAAAAACAGTTAGAGGGTGACTGTTGGGCTCCTAACCCGACTACATTAAGTGGTCTTATATGACTTTTGAACTTCCAAATTGATTTGTTAATGGACTCATTAAACTGACCAATTAATTAGTGGGCCTGAGTGGGTGTAACTGATCTGACCTTTAGGTTGCTCTCATTAATGGACTGGCAACTCTTGCGCTGGGTCAGATACCTATATAAAGCTTTCTACTCAACATCTAATGGGTTAGACAACTCTCTCACCTATCCTCTAGAAAACTACTCAACATCAGAAAAGGGTAGACATCCCTCTCACCTATCAGCTAGAAAACTGCAGTGCCTATTTGAGTCTAACTCTGCATCTCGGTCATAGTTTGAAGTCAGAACAAAGAGGTCGTCTAGTGCCTAAACTTGATCAAAAGGTGGTTAGACTTGACAGTCCAAGGTGGTCATAGTCTGAAGTTAGTCCAAGGAGGTCGTCTAGTGCCTAAACTTGATCAAAAGGTGACCAGACTTCATCAGACCGAGGAGGTCATAGTCTGAAGTCAGACCAAGGAGATTGTTTAGTGTCTAAACTTGAGCAAGGTGATTGTGGAGGATCTTGGTGCACATCAGTACACTCAAATTGATGTTCCTAGAATCAATTTGGCTTTGTGATCTTTGCACTAGAGTAGGCCAATTTTTTAGGATGCACAACGACTCAAATCAATTTTTGACAACAAGCATTTAAGAGAAGTTTATATTCCTATCTTGTCCTTTTCCTTTTGTTTTAACATTCTTAAATCAAGTTTCTTAGTCTCATAATGGATCCTATAAAAACTATGGGAATCGACTACTTGAAGCTCGAGAGCTTTGATGGAACTGACTTCAATGCATGATGACACAATGTGATTTTTGGGATGCAATCCTAAAGATTTATTATGTTGTCTCAGAAGAGAAGCCGATGTTCAAGAAGGATGACATAACCGACAAAGCAAACTGGGACTACAATGACAACTTTTATAGGAGTTATCTACTCAATTGTCTTGCTGATCACCTTGGAGATGTTTACACTGACCAAGCCTCTACGAAGGACATCTGGAATGCACTAGAGCAGTAGTATAAAGATGAGGAGAAGCTTTCCAAAATACATCTCATCGACAAGTTACTCAACCTCAAATTCGAAGATGACAAAGAGGTTTTGTCTTAGGTCAAGGAGCTAGAAAAACTTGTCATGATATTAAAAGAAGAGAAAATTGAGGTCTGCAACACTTTCATTGTTAGTGCTTTCGTCAACAAACTCCTTCCTTCATGGATGTCTTTTTTAACAGATATTCATAGGAAGAAGACACAAGCTTTGTTAGCAGACTTGAAGAGTTTCATCCAGATTGAGGATGAAATTAGGACTCACGCTTAAAATAAATTGATAGCTAAGCAAAACACATCAGCTAACATAGTGTCTACCAAACCTGCCCATGGCTTCAACAGCAACGAAAAGAAAAATTTTAAGAAGAAGCTCACTATTTCAAAAAATCTCAATATGCAAAAGGAGGAGTTCAAGAAGAATGATCAATGCTTCAATTGCAGGAAGAAGGGGCATTTTGCAAAAGCCTGTAAAGCACCAAAGAGTACAAACAATGTCAACCATGTTGCTAAAGTTAACCATATTGAAAAAGTTTAGAAGTTTATGACAATGCTTTTTCAGGTGATAAATACACCTAACACTTCTGAATGATGGTTAGATACTAGCGCTACATGCCATGTTTACATCGATAGAGATCTTTTTACTTCTTATATTGCTGCTATTGAGAATATATCAATGACTTCTCGCTCTGCTGCTAGAGTCCTTGGAACTATGATAGTGGTGATAACTCTTACTTCTAGAAAGACTCTTACTCTTAAAAATGTGAAGCATGTTCCATTAATTGTGAAGAACCTAGTGTCTAGAAGTCTCCTTGATGATGATCGAATGCGGCTGGATCTCCAAAGAGGAAATTTTTTTCCTATCCTATCAGAAAGTTTATCTTAGTAGTGCTTATCGTGTGGATGGGATATATGCTATAAGTATTGTATACTCTACCTCAGCTATTAATAACATTTCTATTTCTGCGTATTCTTCTCTTTTGCATCAATAGACTTTGTCATGTTAATTATAGAAACATATTTAACATGAATAGGTTAGGACTTTTGCCCAATTGTGAGAGCAATAAACCAAGTCGGTGTAAAGTTTACGTGCAAGCTAATATCACAAGAAGGCCTTTTCATAGTGTCACAAGGAGTACGCAATTACTAGATCTAATTCACTCCGACATTTGTGACTTTAAAAGTTTTACTACTAGAGGAGGCATGAAATATTTTATCACTTTTATTGATGACCACTTTTGATATTATCATGTTAACTTACTAAAATCAAAAGATGAAGACTTTAGCAAGTTTATCGAGTTTAAGACTCGAGTAGAAAAATAACTTGGTCACTCATTAAAAAAACTTGAAAATAATAGAGGATGAGAGTATCAATCTAAAGAAGCAGAAGCTTATTTTAGAGAACAAGGGATAGTTGCTAAGACAATGGCTACCTATTCACCATAATATAATGGGATTGCAGAAAGGAAAAATCAAACTCTAACAGAGATGATAAACTCAATGCTTTTCACATCTTGTCTTCCAAATTACTACTGGAGCGAGGCATTATTAATGGCAAATTAGATCTTAAGGGTATTATATCCTAATTCTAATATAACACCATATCAACACCAATATGTTTATCCTGTTTCTTTTGGTAATCTTAAAGTGTGGGGATGTCTTGCTTATGTTAAAATACCTAATATAATAAGGTCTGTTGGTGCATAAAAGATTGACTTCCCACTCGAGGGGTCTATTTGTATTTATAAGAATGACTTATTACAAACTAATGATCAATGTTTTACAACAGAAGAGGAGGGAATGACCCTCCTTGTTTAACGTGGGTTCATTGGCAGCGGTAGGACGCCTCCCTCGGTGCTCACGTTGAGTTTGCTTCCCTTGGACAATTCGATCGAAGTTGCGATTGGATCTTCAGTACGCACTAGAGGTTCCGGAGTGATTGAGTTCGACTATACTCGAGCTTGAAAAGCTGTGAGCTTAGAGAGAGCTACGATGCAGGAGTTTGCAAAGAGCTGACGAGCCTCAAATCTAAGAGTTCAGATTGAGTCTGTTTCAACAATCCAAGCAAGGAGCTAGGAATGTTCTAGTAAGCAAGTGAGCCCAATGAAGGTCTCTGTTTGAAGAGCCACGAGTATCAAAATCTCCAGCCTCCTTCACATTGGATGAAGATGGCTTTAAATAGGCAATGGATGGCATGTGTCATCCCTTGATTTGTGGGATATGACAACCAATGGGTAAGGGGCACCATGCCCTCCCCTACCTGTGAGATGTGACTACTATAGGGGTGATGAGAGCCATGCCTCATCATGACCCATGACGTGGGAAGTGGGTAGGCCCACTCCCACAAGCAAGCAACCCGCTTGCATTGCTCAGGCGAGGCTGGCAAGGCTACGGACGAGCTCGTGAGCTATCTGAATGCTCAGGCGAGTTTGCAAGCGAGCTTGGCGAACAGGCGGGGTCGGCTAGCGGGCCCCTCCAATGTGTGAGCTAGCGTTTGTTGGCAAGCGGAGTTCATGAGGGCGAACTCCCTGCAGGCGTGCTTGGATCGTGTGGGCGAGCAAAGCATTCGGGCGAGGCTGAACTCGTACTGGCGAGCTCAATGATTTGACGAGCTTGATTCATGTGGACGAGTCAAGCTAACAGCGATGCTTGAGCTCTGCGGGCGAGCTCAATAAACAGGCGGGATCAAGCT